AATTTTTTCTCTTAGAAAAAAGCTAGAAAAAATAAAACGTTACCTACTAGAAACGACCAAGAAGACTATGGAGAAAACTGCAAACAACCCGATTTGAATTCAAGTATTCTCAAAAAAGAAGTTAGAGATTTTGTAGCAAGTTTGAATGTAACAGAAGAGGAACGAGACTTTATCGAAAACACTACTAAAAACCAGTTCTTGGGCTCCCTTAGTTCGATTGTTCCTATACAGAGTGTCCCAGGTTTATTTCTAATTAATTTAAAAAAAATTGCTAGAGCAAACGATAGAGGATTACGTAGACTTCAATTTCATGCTTTAATATTGTTCAAAATTTTTATCGTATGTCAGTGGGACTTTAAAAACCAAATTTGGAAAAAAAATAATTAATTAGAATCTTTTCCACATGATAAAATTGCTTGATTTTTTCTAATGGTCACTATGAAAATTGGATAATGTAAAAGTTGATAGATTTTGAGTAATTAACATTTTAATATTGAAAAGTGGGAATTCTGGAAATTTATGGCCAAGTTTGGGATGATGTGCTGCTAATGCATTGACAATAGAGTGGAGGCTTCACAATAGAGCTTGGGTACATCATAAATGTCATTACGGAACTTTTTCTTCTCTCAAGAAATTCTGGCCTGATCACCAATTACCGCAAACCCTCCCATAAATTATTCCAAGTTTCAAATTTGCAATATTAAAATGTTAATTATTCAAAACCTATCAACCTTATCGTTATTCTATTTTCACAAATACCACAGAAAAAATTCAAAGAATTTTATCATGTAGAAAATATGTCAGTTTCATTTTCCTTTCAGTGTCCTTTTTTGCAAAAAATAAAACCATCAAAGAAGCCATAAGAGATAGACCTCATTTTTGTCTAGACAAAAACAATAAATTGAACAACACGATTATTATTACCAGGTCCAAACTCAATTACGGGTCACCAATAAAAAAAATTGTGATTTTATTTTATGGGCAGAACAATATATTTCTATTGATCGCATTTTTCCGGACCCCACGTTATGAGAAAAAAATGTACCCAAAATAAAATATTTTTACCAAAAGGCCTTAGTGCTAGAAATACTAGAACCTAGGCTATGTAAGTCAATGAAAATAAGGAAAACAAAAAAAGAATAGAAAAAAAATGCGTTTTACTGATTTCAAATTTTTTTACTTTTAAAAAGGTTATAACATTTATTTATTACTTTCTGTTCCACTTTGGTATTTTTTTTATTTGAATGTAACTGAACTTTTCTCTGACAAATTTTTGATGCGAGTCATATTGGGACCTTGGTGCATACTCACATCTTAGCCCCTAACAAAACGCGCATCTTTCACTTCCAGCTTTCAGCTATTTCAAGTTTTTAGGTATCCCCCCACTCTAATAGGGCGCTCTATACAATGAGGATATTCGGGCGGCAAATTTTGTCAAAGTAAAATGAATATTCGCGTTTCGTTAAAAACTAATAATAATTTTTTCAGTTTTTTAGTCGCATTCTATTCGTATCATCACAGTACATCTTTCCCCTAGGCGTTTTTTTTTAAATATTATGAAATTTTTATATAAAATTTGAATAAAAAAAAGTTAAATAATTTTTTTTCAAAAAAGTGTTACGTTGGCGAAAATTCTAAATGTCTTTAAAACTCAATTCAATATTTTGATTTAAAATTGGGTGAAACATATCGCTAAAAACAGCCAAGTAAATTTCAATATACTTGTCTTTGTCGCACACTTGGTTTAACTCTGTCGTCCCCTTTAGCCTCGCATGCCACCACCACCAGTTTTCACATCAGACTTTTCTTCACAAGTTAAACACAAATCAGTTGAACCACACAGATATTTGACTATTACGATGGAAGCTCGCCTATCCAAAATTGAAGAGGAATTAGAGTAAGCAAAAGGTCAACAGATGTTATCTCTTTTGGACTATAAAAGCTTATTTTGTACTCATGCACATCTGCAGCTTGTTACTTGAACGGAAACCCTAATAGTCATAATTTCGGAATTTTTATTTTTTAATGTAAGTCCAAGAAGGAAGATACAGATGATTAGGTTAGTTATATTGTGAAAAGACATGGGTTATTCAAACCCATGTTTTTCAGTAAAGGGGGGAGTGGTTGTGACGGGCTAAAAAGGGCCCTAATATGTAAAATAAATGTTTTACAAATTTATTGTAAAGAGACCAAACCTATGGAGTTGAAAAGGCGGTCAATAACACAGACTCTTCCTCGCAACTTCCTCGGAATTCGTAACGTAAACAAAATTAGAGCAGGCGAGTTTAGAGAAGGCATGGAATTTTAAGTGCTTTTTATGATACATAAAAGTTCGCACTTAGGTCACCAGGATGACCTCGCCTCGTGCATAGGAAAAATCCGATCGAGGGATGACGTGTCGGACCATAGCATACCTGTTATCTCCCAAAGCCACGATGACCCAAACTTCATACTTGCCCATTATTCCCACCTGTTGTGGATGCATTTAATTATTAAAGTAATGTATTTGGAATAAAATAGAATATTTAACATAATATAAGTGAATAATACAAAAGGTAAATAAATGTTAAGCGAACATGATAATTAAAACAATTGTCTAAAATAGGGAGTATTCCTATTTTAGGCCTTATCAAAGTCATAATACAAAACTGTAACTACTTTCTAAATACAACTGATCAACAAAGGTACTAATGCTTTAAGAGACATTATTACATTTTAACGGAAATTGGTAAAAATAACAAATGGTGATTATGGCACGTTTATCAATAAAAAGATCTGATTAAATTAGTCTTTTTACACAAACTATGGACTTTAACAAAATTAGGACAAGCAATCAAAATGTATTTATTATTCAATTTGGAAAAACATTGTAATTGCTGCATCAGGCTTATCTGGCATCGTATGACATCTCTGGTTTTCATTTATCAACTTAATACTCTAATAATAAATAAACGATAAATGAAACTAAAATCTTAAACTTAACTTGGGGTTTGTGAATTGTAACCAGAGACCAAATCTATGTCGTTATTGCTTTGACTCGTGAACCTATCCATCTTTCAACACGCTTATATTTCAAGTTTATCCCGGCCCAAACGCTTTAGATTAGCAAATCATTATTTAAATAATTTGGAAATTTTGATAACGTTTTCGGGTGACATTTCGCTCGAAAATCCACAACAAAATCATAATATGGTACGGCATGGTAAGTCGGAGCAATGTCAACAGTCAAAGGAAAAATAAATCAAAACTTACTCATTTCTTATGACAAAAATCGGACTCAGAAGGTGAACTTAGCACAAAAACTGTTTTGGCTCACTAAGTAACTACTCGCGTATTCACTCTGTTTGCAGAATGGTTACTCGAGGTTCGCGTCTTCGCCTTTTTTTGCTATGGTTATGCTATGGCCCGACACGTCATCCCTCGATCGGATTTTTCCTATGCACGGGGAGAGGTCATCCTAGGTGACCCAAGTATGAACTTTTGTGAATCATACAAAGCACTTAAAATTCCACGCCGTCTGCGAAAAACTCGCCTGCTCTAATTGTGTTTACGTTATGGCCTCCCGGAAGAGTCTGGGTTCTTGACCGCCTTTTCAACTTCATATATTTGGTCTTTTTAAAATATCAAAGACTTTAAGTCTTTTCAGCATTAAAAGAACAACAAGGGCTTTTTAGCCCGTCACAACCCAAACTTCATACTTGCCCATTATTCCTACCTGTTGTGGATGCATTTAATTATTAAACTAATGTATTTGGAATAAAATAAAATGTTTAACATAATATAAGTGAATAATACAATACAAAATGTTAAGCGAACATGATAATTAAAACAATTGTCTAAAATAGGGAGTATTCCTATTTTAGGCCTTATCAAAGTCATAATACAAAACTCTAACTAATTTAACTAACTACTTTCTAAATACAAGTGATTAACAAAGGTACTAATGCTTTAAGAGACATTATTACATTTTAACGGAAATTGGTAAAAATAACAATAGTGATTATGGCACGTTTATAAATAAAAAAATCTGATTAAATTAGTAATTTTACACAACCTATGGACTTTAACGGAATTAGGAAAAACAATCAAAATGTATTTATTATTCAATTTGGAAAAACATTGTAATTGCTGTGTCAGGCTTATCTATGCATCGTATGACATCTCTGCTTTTCATTTGTCAACCCAACACTCTAATAAGAAATAAACGATAAATGAAACTAAAATCTTAAGCCTAATTTGGGGTTTGTGAATTGTAACCAGAGACCAAATCTCTGTCGTCATTGTTTTGACTCGTGAACCCATCCATCTTTCAACACGTTTATACAGGGTGCGCCAGAACTCGCGCCCCAGAGAAAAATGCCATATAAGGTAAGATACCAGGAACATGGAAAAAATGTTAAAAAAATTTTATCTATAAAAATTTCGAAGTTATGAGGGTTTAAAGTTTGCACTTTGACTCTATTTATTTCTGTTGCAAAAATAATTTTCCAAGTTTTTTTGATATAGGCTATTAAAAGAGGAAGCAAAAAAGCTGTATCCTAAATTGTAACTCTGTTCAATGTTATTTGTGGCTTTTATTGGCAAAATTTTTGTTCCTTTACTAAATAATTGTAAAAAAACATATACAAGATCATCAGTATCCTTAAATAGATATAAAACAATGTCAAATGTCAAAAAATAAATGTCAAAATTTTTTCACAGATAGAATTTTTTAAACATTTTTTTCATGTTCCTGGTATCTTACCTTACTTGAAATTTTTCTCTGGGGCGCGAGTTCTGGCGCAGCCCTGTATTTTAAGTTCACCCCGGCCCAAGCGCTTTAGCTTAGCAAAAACATGACTTAAATAAATAGGAAATTTTGATAACGGTTTCGGTTGACATTTCGCTCGAAATTCCACAACAAAATCGTAATATGGTACGGCATGGTAAGTCGGAGCAACGTGAACAGTCAAAGGAAAAATAAATCAAAACTTACATGACTCATGACTATGTAATTGAACAATCGGACTGCTTCGGGTTGATAGATTCTGGCCTTAGATGGTGGCACAGGGTGTTTTGGCAGCTTCTTCTTCAATTGACACAACTAGTCTGATTTGACTGACTTTTTAGCGATATTTGCGCTTCCTTTTTATAGGGCGAATAACACGTCATCTCTTGCGATGGGTTCTTTCCAGTGCACAGGGCAAGGACATCCCGCATTCCAGTGCGAATATTTTGTGAGTCATAAAACACACTTAAAGGAGAGATCAACTTTCAAAATGCACTTTTTTTATTTATCTAATAAACGCAATGTATTAAAACATGAACATTTGTGAAATTAAATTCGAAATATTTAGGCTGGGAACTTCAAAATTAAATATTTTGTGAAACTGCTGTGACGTCACTCCAGCCCAACTCCATCCTTTACTGCGCGATCGCGATTGCGATACGTTGGCCTACGACTTTTTTTTCGATAATTTCCCTGAATAGATGAATGATTTGGAAGAACACAATGATTTACTTCGTTAACAAAATTTTATTGTGTCGGTGGTTTTGGATAAACAATTTTTAAATGATTTAGGCCGCATAAAAAATTATTGTCATACTGGTTGTTTAGAAAGTTATCACGATAGTCGTTTGAAGTGTGCTCTCCAAAAAGGCTACATTTCTCATTCAATGTTATATTGATCAGGACAATGCAAATAGCAAAAAAAAATTATGAAGCATTCGTACTATAATTTTTCTATTTCGGTGTTAGAATAAGTCTATTCCAGCACCCAAATGACGTCATTTGAGTGCTGGAATAAGTCGTCGCGGTAATTTAATTTTAGTGACGGACTTTCTTCACAATTCATTTTCAAATGTGAAGATATGAATTATTTTTATTTTGTACAGCCGCCTAAAATTATTCCACATACCTAAATGTCGCCAACCGTCGTAAAATTCTCCAAAAAAAAAATAATTTTCATTTTTCAATTTATAAAAATATATGAAAAAGCGGCAAAATAGAAAAAATAGTATAAAGCACTTGTTGCAGAGGGTTCTTCAAGCACCCATTTGTTCCTCAACTCGCCGCTACGCGGCTCGTTTCGGAATTTCAAATTTGTGCTTGAACCTTCTGCAACTTGTACTTTAATATACTATTCTCAAAATCGACAAAACAGTGGTTAAAAAAAGACGTATACAATTGAATTAGCAAATTAACAAATAAAATAATGCAATACGCCAAGAAGGAAATAGAATTGTCTACATGTGAAGAAATGTTTGATATCCCCAGAATATTTTTGATAGGTAGACCTAAACCACCACAAGATGACCATGCGACGATTTGGAACGTCTCTCATCAGAAATCACCCAGTGTAAAAGCGTAGTGCTCTCCCACAATTTTTATTTTATTCAAAATATGTCTGTTAACACATTATCCTCCATGATTAACATTAAAAAGTATAAAAACAGTAAGAGAAAATGCAAAGTAATAATATTTGTCAACATTACTTAATATTATTGTTTTCCACTGCCTACTTTAATAAATTTTTAATTGACTCATATCTCACGAACGGTTGGTTTTAGGTACATGGTACTAAAACTTGTTAAAAGACAATTAAACAAAGAATCCAAAAGTGGTAAAATATACAGGATGGTCCATTAAAAAAAATAAAGTTGATGTCATTTCTGGTGAAACAGAAAACAGCATTAATTTAGCATCTATCCCAAACGATAGATGACAAAAAATGTTCAACTTTGTTTTACGAAATATTGTCATAACTTTAAAAATAATGGAGTTATGGCTTGGGGCGTTTTTCATAATACAGCCTGTATATAAAAATGAATTTATTAAATGCATTTCTTTAATAAATGAGATTAAATCTATAAATAATTAAGTAAACAATAATTGTCAGAAACGAAACTAACGGGCGTTTATTTAAATTTGGCGTCATAGTTGGCGGTTGACATAAGTCTGTTGTGAACGGACTTCAATTTTTAATACTCCTAGCGAGGTGCCAAATGTCAGATTAATAACTTTCAATACGATGGTTTGTTCACAATCAGACAATGTGAAAGAATGTAAGAGAAGACATTATTAACATATAACATAAGTAACGCATAAAATATAATCAATGATGGCGACTACTGTGCACCATATAACTATTCCCTGTTTTAACTCAGTTTGAATATTGACTTTGAATTGGAAAATAGAAATAAACCATGGAAACGTCATATTCTAAAATCATATTTACACTGGCCGCCAAAATTAACCGGACAACTAAAATTTTGCGATTTTTTACTTTGCAATATTTTTGTTATCCTTTGTCGGATTTCGACGAACTTTTGTTTGGCTTAAAGACAAAACTTTGTAGATCATTGTAATTTAATTCAATAACATTTCTAGCTTTGGCTTCTAATTATGATACTCAAAAGACGAACGCACAGTTTTTTTACTTATTTTTGTACTGAACTGTGGTGTGCCACAGAGACAAACTTATGTTTTTACTGATTTCAGATTATCGCCCATTCTTTTCTGAATGTGTACCACATTTTCCATAATTTTAATTCCTGAGACATGAGAGATATAAATCTTCAAATAAAGCCTTACATTTCCAATTTCAATGAATGTTCGTATTAAGTAGGCCGAATTTGCCAAAACGTTAAAATAGGCGCATGGAAGCTTCCAATAATTAACCGTTTTACTTGTAATCCTTTGAAGTCTTAAGTTTTTCAGATTTTTTGTGTTCAAAGACGTAAGTAATGTGCTCTTTTGGTGACATAAGCAATAATTTTAACTAACTTTTTATGTAGCCTACTTTCTGAACGAATATTTAGTAACATTAGAAAAGCAACGTCTTTTTCAATGCTTTGTATCTCTGGGGCACTAGAAGATAAAATTTTGAAACAAATTTGTCCTCATTCAGAAAAGAACGGGCAATAATCTGAAATAAGTAAGAACTTAATTTTGTCTCTGTTGAATAAACGCAAAATTCTGGTTGTCCGGTTAATTTTGGCGGCCAGTGTATTTATTTATTTGTAATAAACCGTCACATTTGTTATTTATTGTCCAAAGAAATTGTAACTTTTTGTAACAGATCTCAACTAGTTACAATATCGGTTGCAAGGGATATATCATTTGGTGCTGCCCGCCCGACGTTGAGTTGGGCGTTGGGCTGAAGTGACGTTATCACTTCATGCACCAAATTATCAAAAAAAATATATTTTACTCAATTTTTTAAGATATTAAAATTCTTTCGTCACTGTACTCCCAGAATTTTAAATTTTTGTTACGAATCATAAAAAAAAATTGTGTTTTGAAAGTTGATCTCTCCTTTAAGATTTTATGTCTTCCGCGAAAAACTAGCCTGCTCTAATTTTATTGACGTAGCGAATTCCGAGGAAGATTCTGTGTTCTTGACCGCATTTTTAACTTTGGTATCTTAACAATATCGAAGAACTTTAAGTCTTTTCAGCATTAAAAAAACAACAAGGGCTTTTTAGCCCGTCACAACTACTCCCCCTTTTACTGAAAAACATGGGTTTTACACAAATTGATCCAAAGATTTTATCCGTTTTTGTAGCCTGTAAACTTTTTGACGCAAATATCCTATTTTTTTCTTCTGTGTACTTATAGTTTTGTTAGCGATTTTCCACATCAATTTGGCTTTTTTTCGATCTTCAATGTCTTGCTCATTGAAATCCCCCATATATACTGGTTGACTTCTTTTTCTAAATTTTTTTTTAGTTTCTCAACAGTAAAAAAATTAATAATTTACCTTTTTTTGCCTTCTTGCTTTGATAAGATTTGCGGCTCTAAAACAGTCTCTTCCTCTATCTTTACTATCGTCGAAGAAATTGACGGTTTTAAATAATCTGTTTGAATTTGCTCTATTTCTTTGAATGTTCCCTGCTGTGAAGACGAACAACTGTAAATTTATGTTTTTAAAATTAATTTATGGTTAAAAGTTATGTCTACAACCTGGTTAAAGGCACTTCTGAACCTGTCGCAAATGAATTATTATTCTTTAGTAACCTAGTGGAACGCTTCTTGGGCTCTTTCTTTTGTAATTGTGGCGGAAATTTAAAAACTGTAGGCACTGTTCCTAATTTTAATGTTTTTAAACCAAATGTATATACAAAATCATCTTTTTGAAAATGATCTGAACATAATTTCGAATATTCAGATGGTTTGAATTTGTCTCTTTTCATAGCTATTAGCCACTCGCGCCGCAAAGTTTCATCCTTCGGAAAGCTGCAGAGTATAATTGGGTATTTATAGACATTACACTTTACATATATTTTAATTACAACAAAACAAATGGAGTTGCAATCTTTTCAATCATAACCTACCTGTGAAAAGAAATATTGTTGCCTTTCTTATGCCTATTTGGCAGCCATACGCTGCACAAGTAGAGGGCATTGCACAATAAGGTAACACTAAAATAAGCTTCAAAAAGCCTAAACAAATCACTGAAATAACAATATGTCACCGTTGTGCAACTAATAAACTGTCGACATGTTTTGACCCAAACCAGCTGATCGCATTTGCTATCTCATGCTAGTGTTGAGAACAACGCCTCTCACTCTACGCTGTATCTACCCGTATTCTTCTTATTACAATGTAAACTCGATCTAAAATACCTTCGGAATTTTAGAATTTTAGCTTTTTTTTTAATAAAAGATATGTGTTATACGCAGGAGCTCAATTTTTGCTTTTTCCAAAAAAGGTAGTTATAAAATTTTTTATCGATTTAAATGTAATTTTTTTTGTTCTTTAATTTTTTTAAAATTCAGCCCCTATCAAATAATGTAAATAAGAAATACGCAAAATATAACTTCAAAATATTGAAAAATGTAAAAATGCCAGCGAATCGGATTAATAATTTTTAAAACTTTTATCTCTTATAAGTTATCTCTTACCACTGTATCTGCAGTTGGGTTCGACCGAGGTAAAGGGACCCATCATAAATAACCGCTTACCGCAACTGACAATAAATGCCACAATTGTGAAATAATCCCCATATTTACTTTATCGTTGAGGTTTTCACACAATTTTTACATCAGTAGGTACAATCTGCTTCAGAAGTAATGACACAAAACTCGGCTCTCGTGTAGGCACGTTCGACCGTTTCAGATGGGATGGAGCCGATGGTCGGCAGTTGTCGGTTTTCCGGCATTGGGATGGGTCGATGGACAGTTGAGGAATATTGATAAATCGTTTGCTCAAATTATTAAGAATTTTGACTATGAGTAATCACTTACCGCATTTGACTTATTTTGAAAGGAATAAAATAATATTTGAAACGTTTCTTTAAAATTTAAAATTGATCTGATTCATGGTTTTGATGTCCAAAGTAACCATTTCACATAATAATTAATTTATTGTTTTATTTACTAATAAATTTATTAATTAATGTAGAAGTTAAGGGTTATTTACTATTTATCAACAGTAAAGGATTTCATGTGGTTTGGGTGACATTTTTCACAGAAATCGAGTTCAGCCATGTCCGCAGTGTTTTATCCCTGTTTTAATTCAGAAGTAGCGTGATCCGAATTACATTGTTATTTACTTTGCATTATTGTCAAATGTGATATTAATTACAAATTAAATTTGGGGCGGTTATTATCGTATCGTGTAATATATCGTAAATTTCGAACTTAACCAAGTCATACCTTTGACCACTGAATGGCAAATTTTTTACCGAATGGAAACGGATGGCCTGCGGGCACATTGTCAACCTTTTCTAAGAAAAATTTGACCAAATTCATATGAAATCCTTTACCTGGACCGTTTGCTATCTGATAAAACTTTCGAATAATAGAAAGAAACAAAACAGTGAACAAGGCCACCTCAACTTATTAATCTGTTCATTTTAATTTGTAACTGATGTGAYATTTGTTCTKAAACATAACGWAAATGGCAACTTAATTCGAATTAGTTTAMAAGAYTGAATTAAATTTTAATTCGCTTTCAGTAAATCAGCCCTAATGTCATATTTATATAAAAGTTGGCGCTATTGGACAAATGTATACCGCCTTAGGGTGCTTAGGATTAACACTGGTGATTGGTGGTGATACACAGACCCTCTGACTCATCTCAAACTTTTTCTCTGAAAACGTTGACAACGGGTTCAGCTGTGTCCGCTTTGCATTGTCAAACGTGAAATTAATCGTGAATTAAAATTTAATTTAAATTAGATGCGCTTTTAGTCGACATTAATTAATTAATCGAGTCATGGTTTTAATTTCAAGCAAATATGAGAAAAAAACTAGGCAAAACGGGAAGTCTCTTCTGAAGTCCCCAAATATTTGGCAGTTTTCAGGTCCAATAAAAATTCATCCGTTTAGGGAACTTTACAAATTTACCAGACCGAGTTGTAAGATACGAGTATCTGTCTTAATCCTTAGTCGCCTAATGAAAGGAAAAAATTTATTTTGTAAATTAGTACACTTTTTCAAAAAAAATAATAAATGATAAAGTAGTAAAGCTGAATATTCCCATTTTTTGATTTTAATCGATAGCTTTTGAAATAAGTAAAAATTTGTTAATTCTTTACATAAAGGCGGACTTAGGTAAAGAATTGAAAATTAACAGTGATTTCAATATATTCCAGGAAAAATTTGTCGTTGAGGGTGTTATTTGCCTAAGACATTTTATGTTTATTATCAGGATTCTAATACACAAGGCAAAAAGGTTTCAGGCCAATAACACCCTTAAGGACAAATTTTTGCCTGGGATAACTCAGCGGCATAATTAGAGCCACCCTATAAATTTAAACCGCACTCCTTGACTAGGAATATTAGGAATTGCTGTAAAAATTTTATTTGATTGAAAATGAAGCCACAAGTCGAATTCTGTAAAAAATTTCACCAAAATCACATGAAATTCTTTACTGTTGATAAATAGTAAGCAACCCTTAACTTCTACATTAATTAATAAGTTTATTGGTAAATAAAACAATAAATTAATTATTTTGTGAAATGGTGACTTTGGACATCAAAATCATGAATCAGATCAATTTTTAATTTTAAAGAAACGTTTCAAATATTATTTTACGAGTATTCCTTTCAAAACAAGTCAAATGCGATGTGATTACTCATAGTCAAAATTCTTAATAATTTGAGCAAACGATTTATCAATTTTCGTCAACTCTCCATCGACCCATCCCAATGCCGGAAAACCGACAACTGCCGACCATCGGCTCCATCCCATCTGAAACGGTCGAACGTGCCTACTCGAGAGCTGAGTTTTGTGTCATTACTTCTGAAGCAGATTGTACCTTTCTAAGGTAATAAATAAAATTAAATATAATTATAAAAAATGTAGTAATACATTTTTTTGCTCATGTCGATTTTGTCAGATAAAAATCTTTATTTTTATAACAGGCAACTTTCAATAGTAATTTGTTTTTGAGTGACGATTTTATCCATGACATTTTTAAGAATTGCGAATGACAAAAACAATTTTTTTACGAAATCAATTGTACAAAAACTTGTGAATTAGTTTCTTGCTTATTGTCAAGATGTCAATAAATTGCACTAAATCTGATGATCACTTAATTTTGTCCGACAATTATAAATTCTTGAAAAAAATATTTTGTTTTGTAGTAGTTCATAAAAATAAGGTAACTGGGTGAAAATTAGTTCAGGTGGGTGCAGTTGGAGGGAAACACGAGATGTTTGTCAGAAGAGAAAGAAGTCATAATTTGCAAAAAATGTAGATACTATTGTCACAACTAAAATAAGGTTTTACAACAATCAAAACGCTTTAACAATTATATTTATACCTATTATTATTAATTGAATAATAATTGCATATTTAGATAAACAAACAATACAGAGAAAACAATTATAATACAGTGCGATCAAAGTATTTCTATCACGTAGGCGTCCTAATTAAGGACGTATGTGGCATGGCATTTCGTATGTTAGCTAGATGTCAAAAAATTAGTTAATAATTTAATGTTTTCAAAAAAATTTTCCAACATTAATATTGGAGCAGAAATCTAAAAATTGTTTTAAAGAAAATTGCCAAAATTAACAAAATGTTTATGTAGCTATAAAATACGATTTGATTGACGACGTGTTTTATGGAATACACTTCTCTTGGCATTTTGTCAATTTTAATATTATTCTGACAAATTGCTTCGTAATAATTGCTGAATTTAGTAAAATTTCTAATTTAATATTAAAATGAAAAACAACACGAATTTTATAATTTCTTAAAAATCTCCGACTATTAAATTTTCGCACCCTAATGGTCGCTCGAATTTTAAACTACGACTTTATTTTTAAATTCGAATTTAATTAGGGCTGAAATAAATATAAAATAAAAACAAAATAAATGTGTTAAAACCCAAGCACTAGATTTCACTCAGGTTATTTCTTTTACTCAGTACCTGCAAACCGACCCAACAATTTCAATTTTACGGATCTTTTACAATCGCACGGCTGTACGAAATAATATCTCGTTTACTGTTTTCCCCACGTCGATTCTTTATTTTTTCCTACGTCAACAAGAAACCTCGCTTCTTCAAATTTACCGTTAGCTTTTGAGTAGAATCCCCTTAAATTACGTCTCCGTTTAAAATAATTGCTCCATTACCTTATCGATCCTGAAACTTGAACTCGGGGAAAATAATACAATTAAACAACTTTTCAATTAGTTTATTTATACAATGTATTTCATCCATCTTGAAACTTTATGCGTAAGTCTCGTTGGTGACAAAATAATTAACGAGCATATGTCAAAATATTTGATTAATTAAAAATTTATAAAGTAAGGTATTAAAAACATTCCATCCGGATGGATTATGTTAATAAAAGTACATTAAAAAGCGATAGTTAATTACAATAAAATGAGGCACTGTATTTAGCACACGCGTCGTAAAGCTAAAAAATAAGTAACACTTTTTTCGGATGCTCAAGAGGCACTTAAGTAACCTGAACTTTACGTAAATGAAAATTTTGGCACTGAATTAACTATAAACAAAATCCGACTTAAACTACAAGCTTAAAATTAATTGGCACGATTAACAAGACATCTAATTAAAATATTTGGTTAATAATAATAGAAGCATAAATATTAGCACCATCAAATCAATAAATAAAGACACTTAGAAATCACTAAAACATTAGTTAAAGAAAACTCTTGACTATTCAAATCTAAAACTTTTCGTCGAAGATTCCTGCTTGCTGGACTTGGTCATTTGCACTGTTTTCTTTTCGATGATTTGTTGCGTGACCGACTTTTTCAACATCTTCTGTTCCAACGTATCAGAGTCCTTTAAAACTGGCGGTTCGTTGATATACTCAACGTTTGAAGAGAATGATGATTGGTATTGATTGTCACCACCGTTACTAAACGACTCAAAAGTCTTCTTATCGAACGGACTCAATTGCAACTTTGAATTGGGAGTACTCGTGTAGTACTTCTCAGAACCAGCAGAGTAGGATGGTTGTGAGGAAGACTTATAAGCTTCATATTTAAACGAATCAGTTTTGTATCCTCCTGGTATTTTGTACGTATTAGTTTTATACTCGGAAGTTGAATAACCGTCACCACCGCCGAATGTCGTCAAGTTACTAGGTTTGGACGTGTAGTCGAAAGTAGGTTTTGTGGGAGAAGTTGGGAGTTGTTTGTAAGGACTCTGACACGGAGCTGAGGTCGTTGGACTGTAAAGTTTACTCTCAGGGGCATAACTAGCACGTGTTGAAGGGTGCGAAGTGAATGTAGGTGCATTTTTACTGAAAGAATTGTAGTGGTCTTGAGTGCTTTGCCCGTAACTGTTGGTGCCTCCGTAGACGGCGTTGTCAAGTGAATGAATCTGGGATTGAAGGAGGTTCTTCTTGTTGCGTTCCAAAGAACTGACTTTTTCGGGACTTTCTAAGTGGCTGTATGTATCGTTGTATAAGGTGTTTTGTAAGGTGGGGGAATAATTCGAGTGTGAACTGTCGTATTGGTAATGGCCGTATCTGTATAGTAAGAAAAAGGAATGTTTCAAAAAATATTTTAAGACAAAACTCTAAGTTTAAATAATTATTTAGTCAGCTGCTTTTCCTTATGACAAATTTTCGTACAATCCCAATTACTGATAACAAAAATATAATTAAATAATTACTCAAACAGTTGATTCAAAAAATTTGTACAATAACAATCGTAAATAATTATTGATTTTGCTACAGTACTAGGAGTAAAAATTCTTTGAATAAATACAAATCCCTAAAAAATCCTTTTTGATTATACAGAATCGTTATAAATGATTTTCATCTAGCCAGCTGTGAATTTTCCATGTAAAATAAAAAATGCCGCTTTACGAAAATAGGGGTACCTACTTGTTTTAACTCAAAATTAAAAAATCGCCGTTTACTAAGCGTCCACTTCGAAAATAGACTTCAATTATAAACTTGTTTTCTTCCAAAGTATACATYATTATCAATTATTATTGGAAATTAGTTGAAACAATAAAAATTTAATTAACAACAATTTTTTATTGATTAATAAGTGACACTAATGACAGAACTAGAGCTTTCAAAAAAGTAGAGCGGCAAAAATAAAGTTACATGTAAAAAAAATCCAAAGCTGGCTAGATGAAAATCATTTATAACCACCCTGTACAAGTATAGACCAGAATCACTATGATTCAAAATGGAAAGGTCGTGTCCAACGTCATCGTATTGTTTAAATTAGTGATGATGATTCATTCGATAGTTGAAATCATTCGATAAATGATTATTCGATGGTCAAAATCATTCGATTGTGTCCAACACTAGTTTAAATTGTCGACATTAGAGGTCATAGAAACCAAGAAGGATATCGATGGAAGGGATGCGCAGAGATGAAAACTGGTCGCGGACCAATCCATTCGTAAATATTGGGGAGTTCTGAAATCAGCTGAGAGCAGTGGCCTGTATTCGCACTTATTTATTTGAACAAAATAAATAATCCATATACTGTAATGAAAATATTTTGATTTTATTACTAAATAACATTTTTAAGGCATTTGTTCTTTTATAAATTGCATTACTCAGTAACCATTTGAGAAAGTTATTAGAAATTGTTCAACAAGGTTCAAATTATTATACAGGTTGTTCCGATAGAATATTCAATTTTAAGACAAAAATTTCCTATGAACATGTATCAAAAATTGTTACGTAAGCGAGCTACACCCTCTGCAAGAGATCCCCACTACACCGAGTACACATTGGTTCCGCCTATCGATATCCTTGGTTTCTATGAGGTCTACAATTTAACACATTGTATTATTTTTATTATTGAAAAAATATAAATGTCAAAAGCACCCGGATGATATTTTTAAACAAACACAACATAAAGTCACCTCGAATATCCATTTGTCCTGAAAGGTAGGTCTACATTTTCAACAACCACTTTTATACGCGGACTCTTTCTGAAATGAATACAGCAACTTTAGCTTTAGTTCCTGACGTTATACTCCGAACAATAATAATAAAATAATAAACACAAAAAACGAATGAGAATGACAACAAAACTAGAGTTCAAATTTGAATCCACTGTCATAAGGAAAAGTGTTAAAAAATTGCTTTGAGCAACCCCTATCAGCAACTACTCATACAATGAGATGAATTTCAAAATCAATAAAAAAACTCAAAGCAATAAGTTAATACTGTTAAAGAAAAAAAACGCGTGCCCTTACCTAAATCTTCTGTGAATGTGATTATGAAAAGATTACCTTCACGCTGTGCATGCAATAAAACGTCCTCCGTTAGTGAATGAAAATGTATCACATGGACACTACTACAGAGGAATATGCAACGGTGCACAAGCAAAAATTCTTAATCCAACACCGATAACGCAGCTTACAAAAACAAGCAACAAGAGATTAGTAGGGTTAGACACACACCTGGGACTCACCGCGATGTTTCGCCATCTTGTGCCGAACTGATATAACCATCAGTGTCATCACCTGAAGTATCATAACCTCTCAATTTGTACTTTGCTTGTCTAATTGCAGTAAGTCGGCTTCGAGCTTCCTCCAGTTCACGCTCTATCCGGAACACCTCCGATCTATACAAATCAATTAGCCCAATCAAATAAGACAAAAATAGGGCGATCGGTGGAAAAAAATCCTAGAAAGTTGGAATTTTTTCCCCCGAAGGTGGGGGGCGAGCTCGGGGAGGGGGAGGGGCCTAAAAGTGTCTTTTTTTGTTTTTTTGATTATATCTCGGAAACTATTACTCCTAACGGTTTTTGCCTGCTTACCAAAATTAAAGCCAACAAAATTTCCTACAAAAATGGTCCCTTGCCTTTTTGTTGTAGGACTAACTGTACGTGAGTTATAGGGCTGACAAGAAACATCATTTTAAAAAATGTGCTTTATCCGCATTTAAAACAGAATTAATCTTGTGATTTGAAAAAACTGAAAGCAAATTGAATTTATTGGGTGCAACATTTTATTAGAGAGTCTATAAAGTCTTCCGAGTCGTCCTTATATGCTGCTTCAACTTAAACATTGAAAATCTAATTACAGTCTTGTTCAGTACAATATTAATAAATAGATGATTTAATATCGATGATTTGAATAAACCTTACAGTAAATTGGATGTATTGGATCCAACAGTTTATTAAAAGGTGCCACGAGGGTCTATCAAGTCTTCCGAGTCATCCTTATATGCTGAACTAGCATTTACCTGCGACTTTGTCCACGTGTATTTCTGATATAAAATGGGAAAAAGCCCGTTCACAAAACCATTCCATAGGCTTAGGTACTCTATAAAGCTAGATAATTACCTATGTTATGTATAGGATTCAGTTATAGTAGTCTCGTTCTTCGCATGGGCTATGTTTATGGATAAATATTAAATGTTGATTTTCATAAAGTGTAGTCTGTGTACTTCTGCACTCTCAAAATTCGAAATTTCATGTTTCTAATTTTGTTTTCAAGCGTTTAAATTCTAATTTATTTCATTAAAATTTGAAAAGTGCACTTCTACACTCTCTGAGGATCATATTTTCTAAATTTAATGTTTTTATATCCCTTTAAATGTGTACACCGTTTTATTCCCTTAAAAACTAATTTTCGAAAAATCTGATTTTGGTGCCCCTTTACACCTCTGAAGAATTTTATGTTTATATCTTTGTTTAAACATTTACACCCCATTTAACCCCCTTACAGATTGATTCTCTCTTTCATCCAAAATTTTTATTTATATCTTCGTTTAAATGTTTACACCCGAGTCACCTTTCAGGCAGACCAGCTTAGTTGAGGAACGCTCTACACATATAAATACTTACCATATACTAATGAAATGTGTTTCAAAGGATTTTTAATGCAATTTTATGTAGACTCCAAACTTTTGAAGCCTACGGTTAGTCCTACGACAAAAACGAATAGGACCATTTTTGTAGGAAATTTTGATGCAGAAATAGACTTCTGCAGAAAATTCTGCATAAATTACATAAACGAAGAGTTTGTATTCATAGACCCTCGTGACTCCCCTTCTTTAATGAAGTATTGGACCCAGTAAATTCAATTTACTGTCAGTTTTTTTTTAATTACATGACTAATTCTGTTTTAAATGCAGATAAAGCCAATTTTTTTAAATGTTTTTTTCTTTTTTTCTGCCTTATAACTCGCTTACGGTTAGTCCTACAACAAAAATGCAAAAGACCATTTTTGTAGGAAATTTTGGAAGCTTTAATTTTGATAAAAAGATAAAAACCTATAGGAGTGATAATTTCCGAGATATTAGCAAAAAACCAAAAAAGACACTTTTAACCCCCTCCCCCTCCTCGAACTCGCCCCCCACCTTCGGGGACTTTTGATATACCCAAGTGTAAAGAAAGCGTTAAAAAAAATCCAACTCTCTAGGATTTTTTTTCCACCGATTTGTCTAATTTGACTGGGCTAAATATAGGTTGATTCTTAAATAAACCGACAAAATTTTATCACAGCTTCTCAAGGATAACTGGAGACAAACTGTAACATTTTTACGTTTATATCTTTGAGGGGCAAAACCTCCTTGATCCGTGCCACTTACGGTGTTTATGAATTGTTGCAATGATCAGGTACATTTTGATCAAATTAATACAGTGCGATCAAAAAGTCTTTCTATCAAGTAGGCGTCCTAGTTGAGGACGTATGTTGCATGGAGTTCGTATGTTATCTAGATGTCAAAAAATTATTTTATAAAGTTTAAAACACTAAGCTAATTAAATTGAATTATTTTATGAAATGTTTCAAAATATCCTAAAATGAGATTTTCTTGGTGTTTATTCATAAAAATCGTTCACCACGGTTTCCTGTTATAATTTACATAAAAATTATTTTGACATCTCTCATTTGTCATTGTGACATTTTATCTTCCACAGACATACGTTTTAAATTTCTACGCTTGCTTGATAGACAGACTTTTTGATCTCACTGTACCATGGTTTCCACTACTTGTGCTAATACTATTTACGAACACATCAGTGGCGTACGCTTTACCTCGAAAATAACTTTAATAAATTTTATTTGTAGAACGGTTAAACAAAGAATTTTTTTAATATTTTTTCCAGCATGTTCTCATTTGATACTACCAAGGATAAAATTTTGTCGATCTATTTAAGAATCATCCTGTATAATAATAAAAAATAATACAAGTACCTAGCATCAATTTCTTGTGCGATTCCTCCAACCATTCTTTTGTTAAGTACTAAACACCTCTCTTCTTCCACACTTTTGGCTTGTTGTGCAGCTCTCACCAAATTATCCGTAGATCTAATAACAGCAGTGCCCGCTTGGTGTAATCTTCTAGTGGCGGTAGTGTCGCCTTCTGCTTTTACTTTACAAGCTACCAATAACTGTGCCGTAGAACTTGCAACTTGTTTCGCAGCCGAAATCAGCTTATCTTCACTGCCAAGACCTTGTACTAAAGCATTGGCGCTTTCTACTAGACTGTGTGTAGCTGCTGCTACTAGTCTTGCAGCTGATATCAAACCTTCCGACCACTGACCATCATCCGACGACGACGTTGGCGTTCGTGACACTTTACCACTGTCGATAAGTTCGCGTTGAGCGGCGCTGGCTGCTTTCACCAAAGCGGAAGTAGCCGATGTTATGGATTTTGCCGCTTCTAAGATCATCTCGTCGAAGTTGAGAGACTCGTCCAAGTCTTGTGTCTATAATAAAACCAAACATTTAGTATAAAGCTGCGAAGAATAAAACACTGAAGTTTAGGTGACTTACCCAATTTAATCCAGACGTGAAGACGATAAGTGATGTTTCTATAATAATATGTTTGACTCCTGGGTGAATTTAAAATACAACCAAGAATATCAAACATATCTTATAGCAACTCACAAGTAACCAAACCACCATCTGTCTTGAAAATTACATACAGGGTGAATATAAAGTATGGAACCAAGTGGTTTTATTTTTAATCATTTGCCTCCAGAAAGTAATAATTAATATAAATTAAAGTAATATAAAAAATATGATCGTATTTTCAGAACAAAATTTTGTTTTGTTTTTGAGTTATGCGATTTTTTTTGTCAAAATTGCAATTTATGTGAAAAAGATTTTTTGAAAAAATTAAATATAAAGCAGGTAGTTGTAATCCTTAGAGTATAGCTTTTATGAGAAAAATGATTTTATAGTGGATTGCCATTTAAAAAAATATTTTTTTTGTAGAACTCAAAAACAAAAGCAAATTTCGAAAAATTTTATTCTTGTTAAATCATCACATTTTTATAGTACTTTATCACTCATCAATTAGTTTTTTCAAGAATAAATAGTTTAAGCAAAAAACGTTTGGTTCCATACTTTTTATTCACCTGGTATAACTGAAATAAAATCCTACCTTGATAGATTTTCGTGGTCTTAAACTGGCCAATTTTTTGGCAGCAGCATCGATGGAGGCAGCGGCTCCCAGCAGTTCATTTTCTGCGATGACAGTAGGATCATCCGGATCGACCCAATCAGAACCCTTGAGTAGTTCAGCAATGCTGACCAATTCCGTTGCCGATTGGGCAATTTTGCGGGAAATCATCGGTAGGGTGTGTTTCGCATCGGCAGGACTGGCTTGTTGCAATATCGCAAGTAATAACTCTCTGAATTGTTGGGCACAGTCGTGACCTCCATTTAGAGTTCTTTCTCTGAGTTCAGGAGTCTCAGCAAGGTTGTAAGCGGCACTTTTGCAGATTATTAACATATCTGAGATTGATTTTCTGGCTAGATTAGCAGCAGCAATGATATCGTCTTGTTTGTTGCTAATTCCAGCTGAAACTGACTTTGCTGTGGCCTTGGTAATGGCTTTGGTACATTTGATGAGGTCTTCGGCGGTTACACCAGGTTTGCAAGCCTCACTGGAGTAAAGAGCCTAGAATTTAGAAATTTAGAATTGGTGTTTGGAAAAAATATAACGAATTTACCCTCATTTCTTGTCCGATTGCTTCAATTGTGGATTCTAGGGCTCGAGTACCGCGCGTATGTTCATCTTCTACAGCCTTGACAGTTTTAAGAAGTGAAGTCACGTTCGTAACCATGACCTACAAATAAAGATTCAATTTTATGTTTTTACTAAAGAACATCGAAGCGACATGCTTTTAGATCAAGTCCACGTAAGCTGAAAAATGTTATTAAAACAAAAAGGAATGTAAGGAAGAAAGAAAAGAAATGTGCATCCACCCAAAACCAACACAAATTAATAAGTACTAACCTTAATGTACAAACTAAAGGTTGTGCTTTAGAAAAAATAAAAACTGATTACCATACAATTTATTGGCTAAATTTGAAAATTTTGATAAATATAAAGATAAAAAAATAAGATCGACTATAATAAAAATACATCATCAAAAATAGGTTCGTGGTGAGACAAAACAAAAAGCTACAATAAGATGAACACACACTAACGAGACTAGACAATTGGCACATATTTATGTAATGAGAAGACAAGGGATTATGTCTGATTGTAAAGCTTCAGTAGCAATGTTCTCTTTGCTGTCGCTTAATAATCGAATTAATTCCTCTTCTTGATCGGAAACCCACCAATCAGTATCAGAATCAGGGACCTGTCATGGATCAAAACATGTGTTAAAACCCTCCACCTTTTGTTTCACAAAACATTGTTAATCATCTCTGTTATCTACCAATTATAAGGTGGACTTTAAATAACTCACATGTTTTGATTTTTATCATGTTAATTTTAACATATTAAATTTTATTGTCATGTTTTAGCATGTGTGGTATGTACTTTTTTTACATCACTTGTGATTATTAATGATTATTTATTTAAAGTCCACCCCAAATTAATACAATAAGAATTTTTAGTACATCACACCACATGCAAAAACAAGTGAAACAATTTAACACAACAAAAGTGCATAAATAAAACAATGGTAAAATTAAGTAACAAAAGAAAAAAGCGCAATTATATTGTAAATAAATAAACAACACAAATAAAACACACACTAAAGCATCTTGCGAAATCGTACCTTAGCACTTTCCTTCAAGTGGGCCATTGCTGGATCGTTGATTGGTTTACCACTGGCGGCTTTAGTGGCGTGTATTAAGTCGCCGAGAGCACTTGCTACGTCCTTGACAGCGTTGATAAGCATCACTTGAGAATCCGGGTTGTCGGAGCCTAAACTTGCCGCTCCAAATTTAACAACTTCGGCTAATTGAACTGTAAAAAAACACATTTTCACTAAATCTAGTTTTTAGTAAAATATTTATTCACTCACCGATAGTGGAAACTGAATTCTGGGCAGCTACTGCCAACTGTTCTTGCGATGATGCAGCCCCCGCTACCAATGTTTTCGTATCTTCGACCAAAGCCTTCGCTGTTTTCAAAATATTCTCTCTATGATCGGCAAACGATTCATGTTCGTTCTCCGGATTCAAATTACCAGCAGTTGCAAACATAATCGTGGTTTCTAGATCGCCGATAATGCCGGAAACTGTAGACGCGGCATTAATACAGGCTTGAGTTCCTCGTGAGCCTGATTGTAAAGTAGCCAAAACACGTGAGACTTTTTCGGTGACGTTTCTAGAACAATCTCCGACTTCGCGTAAAATGATGTCATCTTTTCTTATCAGACATTGACCACCGGCTTGCACCAATTCAACGCAAGCACCACCTAGTTGTTGGACAACTTCTTTGAGACGCATGGCCACTTCACCGTTAGTGGCGGCGGCGGCTGCACCGATGCTGTCATTCGCCAATTGGGTGTATTTGTGGGATAAATCTGCAGAGAGAGGTGCGAGTTTTTGCGTATCGCTGGGGGCTTTAGACGCCTATGAAATAATTGTATGAATTATTTAAAAATAAGACATAAATATAAATTACTCACCATTTCGCCCGCTATCTTCGCGATGTCTTTCGCACACTCAACCATTCTAGTCTGATAATCAACATAACTGTCGCTGTCTGAAATAATCAGAGAAGCTCTATGATCAGACAGGCGAGTCATAGCCCTTGTCAGATTGTCCACGACTCCGGAGACAATTCCACTCTGTGTTGATATGGTTTCTAAGCTCGTTACTAAATCTTGTAAAGTATCACGAGTCGAATTTGCAAACTCATCAATGTCTGGATGAATGTTGACAGCCTGAAAATCACATCTTAAACATCAAGTCTGCAAGAAAATCAGCGAATAAACCTTGGGATTGCCGCCACAATCTTTCGCCGCATAAACCAGTTGGAGAGCTGACTCTGTTACGGATTTGGCTTGTTCGAGAAGTTGTTCTTGTTGCTTCGAATTTTTCATATTAGAAGCGGCACCAATTGTATTTTGCACCAAGGGCTCGAAATATTGTATCTAAAACCTCACATTAGCAACCAACAAAAATTACATATAAGAGCTGCCTGACACGAGACTAATTTCAGTACTGAATTTAGTACTGAAATTTAGTATCGAAATTAGTTGAAGTTACTAGAAGTTTTGAATAACACGTCAGTACTGAAATAAGTCTATGAACATGCTAAAGACCGAAGGGACTGTCCGTTGTCAATTTTAAGCACGGACAATAATAATACAATGGGTCATTCAATTTCCTACAACCCGGAAAAAATATTACAGATATTTCATCTAAAAGTATCCTTAAATGAGTTAGATAAAATTTAAAGCCAAGTTTAACATTTGCGAATAATTCTCTTTAATTAAAGAGATCGAAAAACGTTAGATTTACAACAAATACACTCAAGGGGTTGTAGAGAATAAAATTTTCTTGAAGAGAATGTTCAAGAGATTTATATCTCCAACCGTTTTTGAACGTTGAAATAGGCTAAATGGAATTGCATTTTAATGTCTGGTATTAAAAAAACTACACTGGTTAGCCTGGTTAACCATGTAACATGTTTATGAAATTCCATTTGAGAAAACTATTTAAAAAATGTTGAGGGACGTTAGTTAATTCACCACTTATTGATTTAGCATTACTTTAAAATCGGTGATGTTTTGTTATATTTATTTTGTTATATTTTTCATATTTGAGTTGACAAATTCTGCAAGATTACTCTTTATTTTACAAAATCGGTTAATTAAATTAAAAATTAGATATTAAAGTAAATAATTAATAGAATATGCATTTTGAAGATAAACTATTGATTTGAAAGCAACAACAAATAATACCAGAGTTTTCCAATAAATTGTTGATTTTTAAAATTTAGAATATTGTGGGGGACTTAATATGTTGATAACAGGGCGTGGTGGCATAAACACAATTTCAAAAAGTTACCCTTGAACATTTTTCTAGTTTTAGACAAAAGCTCGTAAAGCCTCCTAGTTATTATATTTCTATTTTTACATTCAAATATTTTTAATTTATGCTTTTAGTCAATGCGTATTTTTAGCAAGCTTTCATCAAGAAATTATAACAGGCCCTGTTTCCTTGGATCCAAGCTAACTAAATTTGCGCGCGCAATTTAAGTACTAAAATTAGTCACGTGTCAGACAGCTCTAAATCGAAATTACCATTTGATTGACTGCATGTCCGATATTTTCAGCTTCATATTTAGCAGCTTGTCGCAAGGGTTCAATGGTATCTAAAAGACCTGCAGCTGCTCGTTCGACTTGTTGACTATAAACCGGTAAAGTAGAACCCTTTCTAGGTACAAGTGATTGAGAAACCGCGTCCATAGAAGCAGCATCGAGAGTCCTGAGATGGTTTGTAAGAATCGAAGAGGCGTTCTCGCATTCGTTTTTCCCCGGCGCTTCATTACTAAACATTTTGATGTTAATTCCAGTTTAAATTGTTGAAAATCAACATACCGAATATTGACAACCAATTGTTTAATCGATTCCGACACGTCTTTAGAAGAACTAGCGAAATGTTGCCAAGTCGAAGGATCCTTATTCATGACAACTAGATTTTTAGCAGCTCTCACAACCGTACAAGAACTATCGATCAATCGTTTTCCTGCTTCAATAATCGGCATTTGGGCACGTCTTGCTTGCGGTGAGATTTTCGCAGGAATCGAGACAAACTCGCTCGAGTTCGCATAAATACAAAGATTCTCAACAGCCTCTGAAGGTAACATTTTTAACACAATCACAATTTATTGCCCATCACTTACCTAACAATGGTCGAGTTGCCTCTGCACACCTTTGCCTATTCACATCAGAATAATCTAAATCGAGAGTTTTAATTTCTTTCACCAAGGCTGCAGTCGAGTTAGCCACCGCTTTGGCACTTTGGACAAACTGTTTTTTTGCTACAGGGTTCGTAGTTTTGGAACTGGCAACTCTACATGAGTTGCAGAGGGCGCTCGTGTGCTTTGCAATCAAAGTTGCAGCTTCCAGCACTTGTTTTTGGGGACTTGAGGGTGAAGATAAAGCATTACACCCTTGGTATATAGCTTGCGAAGCTCGAGCGAATTGAGCCTGGTCGACTAGACCAGGTCGACCGGCAATACTCGAAGGGTCAGAAACTCCAACCAAATAGGCGGCTTGGGCAGACGCTTCGATGAAATGACAGATGTAAGTACTGAAAGTTTTCATATTTTCAGCGAATTTTTCGTGTTGGGATTGTTTTGCACTGTTCGTAATGCCGGTCATACAATCACCCAAAATTTTACTCTTGTCAATTACCGAGTCTAAAGCTTCATAGTACGTGCAATCATTGATTGGTTCAGTGGGACTTTCTAGTAGATGTTTCATCGCTTGGATTTTTCTGATAGCGTTGTCGCATTCGGTTTGACCTGGTGCTGCTGATGTGCACACATTCACCAAATGGTTGATGCTATCAGTGACAGCTCTCGCAGCAGCTGCTAACTGATTCTTGCCGTTTGGTAGGTAAGGATCGGCAGAAAGACACTTGGCAGTGGTCAAAAGTGTACTAGAAGTGGTCGAAACGTTTTTAAGTGAATGCACCATCTGCCCTCTAATATCTGTGTCTTGAGTTTGTCCAGCCATCTCCATTGACACTTCAAGCAAATCATGGAAAGCAGCTGAGAAATCTTTTGATGATGAAGACAACTGGATTGGACTCTTCACCGAACTGACAACAACAGAACTAGCTTCGTTCAAGTTAGCAGCAGCAGTGTTTAACTCCTGTTGAAGTTCACCGTAACTTTTATCAGTGTGAGGGAAACGACCCGAATCGATGGTCGCCGTCCACTCAATAATATTTGTGATGGCCGAATCCACATCTCTTTGACCTGGAAGACACCCAACTGCTTGATTCAACGCTGATGCGATACCCTTTGCGGCATGCTGCAGCCCCGGAGTGACCTCCACCGAATGCAAACTCTTCTGCGCTTCTTCCACCAACCTAGCCGAATGCATCAACACCTCCTGTCCTGATCCAATTACCTTCAATTGCACGTCTTGATCACCGGTAGTGGCAGCAACACTTCTAATTGCACTAGTCAAATTCTTCAGACTCTGTGCGGTGTCTCGAGCGGCCTTATCTGTGTAAATTTCATTCCCTTGAGCTGCAGCACTCAATAGCTGAGCTACGCTCTGATTGATCGCTTTACTGCTAGAACTAAGTTCTTCAGCTCCATATTCGGGTGTATCGCCAGGGAGAGGCCTCAAATTGTGGGCTTTGACGGCACGTTCAAACTCATTGAGTTCGTCTTGGAGGTCGGCGATAAGCTGAGCAGCTGCGCCTAAGCCAAGGCCTTGACAGACAGGTTTGGCGCGACTAAGGGCACCTCGTAGGTCGCTCAAGTCGGTGTTGAGTTTTTGGCTGGTGACCGAGAGTTGTTCGGTGATGGCTTGCTCGTGGATTGTTGGTAACACTGATTGTGAAGTTTGCACAAAGTGAGTAGCAGGCTGTAAAAAAATATTACAAATAATAATAATAATAATAATAATAATAACACTATCCCTAATGATCAGCCTCCTTGGCCACGTGGAAA